ATTTAGTAAAATAATGAGCTAACTGTTAAACTATACATAGTATAGCTTCATAGGCTGTGACTAGGGAGTTAAATATTTTATATTTTTTCTCTCACATTCTGGTTTCGAAACTCAATCGAGTAGTGAAGAAATCATTTCAGATTATAAACAGCGGTACATTAGAAGAAGGGTAAATATCTAAGAGAAAGTATGAGTGAAATTTATTGGCAAAATATGGTTTTTTCTTTAATTTAATGTCGTCAGATCGATAAGCAGGCCGAAAAGGGCCTGGCGACAATTGCTACTTTGACACTGAAGCGAGATCCTTGGATGCCTATGGAAGCCAATCGTAACCAGTTGGGAAGTAACTATGAATCTCCGGCCTATTAGGAGATTTAATAAATTTCACATCAAATGGCTATACCCCGAATTACCATCTTTATATTCAATCTTTCCAGAAAATTCTGTCTTTAAACGTTTTTGGCTAAGTGCGACCAGCTACCATTTGTCTAGTGTCATGACAGCTTTCAAAGTGTTTTTTTCACAATTATAGGGGCTCTTTTTGCAACTTATCTGCCATTTCATGAATTAACCATATTGTATAAGCTATTTCGCCCGTCTGTATGGTCGCATCTTTACATCAAATGTAGAGTTGGTTGATTCGATTGGTTCTCAATTCCTTAATCGAGATGTAGGTAGGAAGGATGGTAAAACGCCAAGGTTGATCTCGTTAAGTATTATTTGATTTGATGAGCCCGTATGACGAAGAGCGTGTAGAGAGCCCAAAATCGCCAGTCTTACTCATCCTGAGCGGTACAGCAATTAGTCTTGATCTCTTTCGTAGCCTAAAATGCCCAAATTTGGTATACACTTTAATTTTTCTTAATGAGGACAGGCACTTATGTTGGTCTATCACTATTTATCATATATGCAAATCTATAAATTGCTGACGATACACTAACCATCTTTTCCCAATCACTAAAATTCTTATCTGCCCTTTAGTTCGCCTAAGTTAAATAGTAAAAGTTCTAATTTTATTCTGGTTGACTGTGTTTAAAAACTAGCAGTAATGCTTGAATAAGTACCTAAGTTACCCTACTCGAATCCTACTGATTACAGTTCGAGAGGATTCAACTAGCAATCTGTAATACACGTAAATTGATGAAGGCTAAATAAAATTCTATGGGGTATCTTTATCCCAATTTATTTAGGGTGATGAAGGATCAGTATTTTAATTTTTAACAATGATATGATTAGAGCTAACGATTCCGTTGAATTTCACATGGGCTTGCTTTCCTAAGGTCATTCTCCTCCAGACTGCAGTCGACTTTAGTTACAACATCACCTCGGTCTTATCAACACCCCTGCGGGACTCGAACCATGACAGTGCAGCGTATTATCCCGACACGCTAATCACTGCTCCACATTACAACCAATGTCCTTGGGTCACAGGACAAAAACTAATTTTAAGGAAGATCAGGCATTTTGCACATCCTATTCTGTGGTATGAATATTTATGTAGTTATATTTGCTATGATAATCGACTACATTACTATTTTTCGCTCATAAGTAGGGTCTCGTGACTACCAGTAAACTTGTCATATAAGATGCATTTACCCTAATTCGTTTAGGGCAATGTCGCGTAGTGATTAACGTGTAAAGATTGCACGTTGCTATGTCATGGCTCGACTCCTGCTGAGGGTGTTTGTAAAACCTAGGCTAGGTCGAAACCGCAGTGCACCCAATATGAAAACACTTTTTGGAAACGTCAATTCATTTGTTTACGGGAAAATTCAACTATCAGTCTTTCAACACCTTAAATGAAATAGGGTGAATACATCTCATATAACTGATTTTCTGGCAGTCTTGAAACTCTACTTGTGAACTAAAAATAAATTAAGTTCTTATTAAAGACATAAAGGGAGTCTCTAATGTTACTTCCATCTAAAGTTCGGCCTCGTTAAGGCCGAGTGGAGTTCCTTTTGCCTCTTCAACACTCCAGCTTGTCGGATCGGAAGTCTTTTAGGAAAGTAGGGCCAAGTGAGTCCACTTCATATAATTGTGGTCTTAAATATATATAAATATATTTTTATATATATCAGAGAAATGCTTATTCGTTGCATGTTGGGATTGGCCTTCAACAAAAACTAATCGAAATTGAAGTAGGCTCAACAATTATAAACCAAGAATCTCGAAAAATAACTTATCTTAGCATTGTATACTATATCTTATAAGATAGAATAAATTCGTAAATTTTTATATTTTTAGCTAAGTATATTAAATTCTTTTCTTTTGAACAGCTTTCCGAGATTACCGGCAAATCAGTTATATGCAAGATATGTTCACCCTATTACATTTAAGATAATGAGTGACTGACAGCTGAATATTCCTACACAGAATATGATATGAAAAAATGTCTGGCTCTTCTTAAATTCACATCTGACAAGTGACCCAAGGTAACTTGTGGCAATGTAACATAGTTCTTAACGTGTCGAGATTATGCGCTGCACTGCCATGGTTCGAGAGTCGCTGAGGATGCTGAAGAGGTAAGTTGAAGCGAGGTAGAAACTGATGTTCACTCCAGCCGAGATAAGAATAACTTTTGGAAAGCAAGGCCATCTGAACTTTAATGGAAACGTGCCTCTGATTTCCCAAAAGGTGTTTTTATTCAGGGTGGACTGCCTATGTTATACCAACACCCCCATATAAATGTGAGAAAATTAAATAGGGTGAACACATTTCATGTATTTGATTTACTGATAGTTCCGAAGCCCTGTTTTGAAACGAAAAAAAGTAGGTAGTTTTGCACCATGCCACCTTTTTTGTATACATTTTTTGAGCAGTAACGTAAAACATGTTGTCCTGCTCTGACGATGCCTACAACACGACGGACGAAAACTCAGCAAGGTTTCATCGGGGTCGCAGGGTTGTGCGCCGAGGACCTATTCGCACAAAGCTAAAAGCACAGCTCCAAAGCAATTACTCTATAGCTTCCGGTGAGGTGAAATTTTGAATTCCTTCCATTCGCCCCTTCAAACAAAATTGAACTTACCCCAACATCAATTATGAAAAGTGACCGAACTTTTGTTATTTTAGGTTAAAAGCTTTCATGAATTTATTACTCTTATGGACCAATAGAGAATTTTTAATGTGGCATAGATGTACATAAATATTCCCGTTCATGGGGATATTCAGACTCTAATGGGGAATTCAGATATTATGGAGGGAATGAAAATGAGTATAAAGGTCGTTTGACCTTGTTTTCGCAGCTTGGTCATATTGGTAGGAAGACTTAGAGAAGCGCAACTAGTCCGGAGTTCATTGTATGCATGATGATTTCCAAAGTCGGACCGTGGACGTATACATTTCCAGCAGTCCTCCATCCCTAGGTCTTAGCAGAGTCTTCCTCTTGCCCCGTAGAATCTGTTTGCTAACTCCATGGTTCAAGTATTTCACCCAAATTCTGCCACTCAATCTGTTCTACTCCAGGTGTTATCTCCCACACACTGCGTCTGAGTGACTAATTTGAGGCTAGCGGCTCTGAGTAAGTCTCATGGTCAAGCCATTGCTACATGGACCACGTCTCTGGTTGAATATACTGTCAGCCGACTAACTAGAGTCTCCGCCGCGAATATCCCGTTTATATCCGTAATACCAAGTCTATGACTTAATATCTCCTAGTCTCTTGTGTGCCAACCCACAAAAGTGGTGGTACTGCTTGCTTTGATTAGGTTCAATGTTGTCTGAGAATATACCGCGTCAGTATGCATACAATAGACTCCGGACTAAGTGCGTTCCTCTAAGTCTTCCTACCAATATGACCAAGTTGCGAAGACAAGATCAAACAACCTCGATAGAACGAAAGGACACTGCGACCACACAAAAGGTCACACCATCTTGATCTTCATATCTAAGTTGAGTATAGCTTTCATTCTAAGATTTCTCAGCCCATCGATTATTAGTACTTTTTTCACCTTTGACTGTAAGTTTTATGAACAGACGCAAGTATCTAGGACGAGATCTTGTGGACTACATTGGCAACATTGCAGTTTATACAGTTTCCTACTATAAAGTAATCTGCGTAAAAGAAATATTTAGTTCACAATGAAATTATAAGAGAATAAGAGATTATCTATTTTGTGTGTTGTTGCTATTAGAGTAAAGCAGAAATGTTTATAGGAAACCAGTAAATGCTGTAAATTCTTTATTTTTCTTACTAATTATAAATTGAAAACTAAGGATGGAATATTAAAATCTATGATAATCAGGAATATACGGTTGGCGTATGGAAATTATCTGATTGAAGATTCAAGAGGACTGAAACATTTATTCTCGGAAAATAATTATCCCTTGAGTTTACTTAATAATAATATCTTTTTAATGAGGAATATAGTTTCAGATGAAGCCTACTTAGTCAGAGATAGGCAAGCTGAAACCCGTTATCGTGTCATATTCTTGCCTCTGTACTTTCTTTCTTATAACATAGGCGGTCCTTTGAACAAATGTGTGTAAAACAATCGTGATTTATCTCATTCCGTTTGCTTCGATTAGGTTAAATGTTGAAACACAACGTTTTTGGGTTGGCACACATGCTCTAGCATAGCAACTAATAGACTTGGTATTACGGATAGGCGACATGACAAGAATTTGCTTAGATATGAGATAATAAGACAACGCAAGACCAAGCCAACTCCGGAAAATTTTGATCGTTCTGTATTGAAGGCATCAACGGCTACAGGCGACGATGGGAGTAAGATGGTAAACCCAACTTCAATCCCTCATGATTCTGAAACTATAGATCTCTTAATGAAAGGGTTAAATTTTTCTATAGGTAACTAAGGAAATGTTCTTAGTGCTATTCTGATGGAAGTTGTCAACATATCAGATAAATATATAGAAGAGACAAAGCGCGAGATGGAAATGGCAATAATCCCACGGATCCTGGCACATTAAGAACAGATAAACAGGAGCCGATTGATTGGTATACGCAAAAAATTACAAAAGAATGATCAAATACTTCTTCAAGCGGATAAAGGAGGAGCGATGGTTGTAATGGACAGGAAACAGTACACGAAGAAAATGGAAAGTATCATAAGGAAGGAAGAAAAGTTGGGTTTAGAGGAATTCCTTGCTTCATAATTGTTAAGCTTGCTTCCATTTCGAGTGAAAGTGTTGGGTGAAGAGATTTGAAGGTCTGTTCCACCAGAAGACAACGGCGGATCCCTCTTGACCAGCTGACGATTGACTTTACTGGAAGATTCATACTGGCGCTGTTCCCGAGTTAACCTCCTTCGATTCCGGTGAAAAGGTGCTAAGCTTTCGCCCGTCATCAGACGCACATCATCAGAGCAAGGTGCCATCGTCAACAACAAGTATGGAGCATTACACAAACTAGCAAAATGCTCATGAAAGTAAACGACGGAGGATACATATGACTTTTTGCAAACGATCGAGAACATTGGCCTGGGGGGGGGCGGAACTGTTGGTGAGTTTCGATGTACAATCCATGTACTTAAACATCTCAGGTTAGAAGGCGATAAACGCCTTAATGGAGATAATGTAGCGAGAAGAGGAAGGAATCGTTACTACGACTGATCAAACTAACAGTAAGTACCACATATTTTACATTTAACGGCAATATCTACGAGCAAATATTTGGACTACCGATGAGAGCTCCACTCTCACCTCTTCTGGCAAATGTGTACATGGACAAGTTGGAAATGGAATTCGATAAGTCACCACTGCAACTAAGAGTGCTTATGCGATACATGATGACTATTTTGCACTTTGGTCACATGGTAACAAAAATTTGAATGGATTCCCCAATTTCATTACCCAACTTGATGAAAGAATTTAATTCACTATGGAGAAGGAAGAAGATGAACGACTACCCCTTCTGGATATTGAAGCTATGCACTCAAACGGGTCACTCAGGAGGAGAGTATACAGAGAGCATTCATGTGCGGGAATAATCCATAATTTTTAGTTTCAACATAACTACAGATTGAAGGACGGAATACTGAGGAGTTTGATCATCTAAAGCTTGCGATTAACGGACAATGAGTTCTGGGACGAGGAGTTGGACAAACTGACACGAATTTGCCCCAGAAAATTTATTGAGAAAAATTAAGAGGTTATAAAAGGCTGATTTCAACTTGGATTATATGAAAATCAGATCAGGAATGAGGATAACAACCAAAGGTTTGCCCTCATCAAAAGTGAGCCAACAATTACGACCTTTATTATGAAAATGGAATATCAAGGTAATAACAAAGGG